GAGAACTCTTGCTGTCTTCACCGGGGACACGTTGTTTGCTGGCGGGACGGGCAAGTTCTTCGAGGTGAAGTAGCTGAACCCAGCGGCAGCTGGAGGGAGAGCACAAGGAGGAGTAGGGGAAGAGAGGAGGGGAGCGGAGGGGAGCGGAGGGAGGAGGAGCGGAGAGGAGCAGAGGAGGAGCGTGGGAGCATGTCGAACGTGATGCTTGTGTCAGGGATCAGCGGCGGAGATGGCGAAGATCCTCATGAGGGTCTCAAGTGAGAGTCCGAGGGTCAGGTTGCTCGTGCTGAAGTTTCTCGTCAGATTTGCCGTCGAGTGTTAAAGTTTTTGCGGGTGAGTCCGCACCTGACATTCTCTCTCTTCACCTGTTCTCTCACGTTGACATGTCCTTTGAAAACTTGACATGTCGTGACCTGGACAGGCATGAGTACACGTTGAGCAACTACAAGTTTGCAGCTGCGTTGGAGCCTGACAACGTGCGTTCAAGAAGACGACGATGATGGAGATGATGATGATGATGGAGATGATGATGATGATGATGATGATGATGATGATGATGATCATGATGATGACGGACATGATGATGATGATCATGATGATGATGATGGTGGACATGATGATGACGACGACGACGGTGGTAATGACGATGATGATGATGATGATGATGATGATGATGGTGGTGGTGGTGGTTTGAGAGGAATAAGTGGAGGGAGCAGGGGCTGGTGATGGAGAGAATAAGGAATGTACAGCAGCTGCGTCGAGATCGCCTTCCTACCCTGGTGGGAAATGATTTGAACTCATTTCGACTTTCAGAGGAAGAGGAACTGGAAGAGGGGGAGGGGGGAGGGGGAGGGGGAGGAGGAGGAGGAGGAAGAGGAGGAGGAGAAGGACGAGGACGAGGACGAGGACGAGGAAGAGAGTCAGGAGGAGGAGGAGGGAATGGAAGAGGAGGGAGAGAAGAGGAAGAAGATGAGAATGTTTCGCTTACCTTTGACATCTTTGATGTAGCCGAGCACGATTGGAGAAGAAATCGCTACCAACCCCTACATCCGGGTAAAAGCTGCATGCTTCCCCTGCTGCCTTCTTCCAATGTCTTGTGCTCGTCCTCGTTCTTGTTTACGTTGTTGCCCTCCTCCCTCCCAGCTTGTCCGTCACTATCTTGTCCTCCTCCATCTCCACCTCCTCTTCCTCTTGTACCTCGTCCTCGTCTTCGTCCTCCTCCCCTCACTCCCTCAACGTTCAGGTTGTCATCTCCAAGGCTGCTTGCGCAAAGATCGCGCTGCTGCTCAATGCAGCCAACGGCACGCGGGTGGGAGGAAGACTGGAGGGGGAGGAGCTTGACTGGCTGGCAGAAGCAGGAGGGGGAACCTGACAGCATTACGGTCTTGTCGGAGGTCAGGAGGTGCCGGGATGAGGTGAGGGGAGAGGAGAGGGAAAGGGAGGGTTCGAGTGTGTGATCATGAAGGTTCAGAATGTCTTGAAGGATAAGATCGAACAGATGTTCGATCAGGCGAAGTGAGTGCTGGGACGGTACACTCGGTGATGTAGCACTTGTATTGATACGTTCGTTGACGAGCCTGCGGTCTTCTGCAGGTCAGTGTGAAGGATTGGATTTATTTCTTGATGCTTGCGTTAACATGTGATATGATAAGATCTGTAAAAATTGTTTGATTATTCTACAAAGTTTATTCGTCTACAATGCTGCTGCTGCTACTCTTCTTGCTGCTGCTGCTGCTACTCTTCTTGCTGCTGCTGCTGCTGCTGCTGCTGCGCCTCCTCCTCCTCCTCCTCCTCCTCCTCCTCCTCGCCCCACCCTCCTCCTTCTCAAGGGATCGTTTCCTCATATGCGAAGTGTTCGGGGTCCGCATAGCAGACTACAGTTCATGTCAGACTTTAGACTCTCCCCGTCCCCTCCTCCTCCTTGCGCTCGTCCCCTTCAACCTCCACTCCTCCTGCGCCTGTCACCCGCTGCCTCCTGTCCCTGCTCTGTACTCTCTACTGTCCTCTACTGTACTGTCCTCTACTCTACTCTACTCGTGCTCTTTCCTCTGCCCCCCCCCCACCACCCCCTCCTGCATCATTCTCATAACCTGTATCTGTTGGGTTTCGCATCCCCCGCCACTTGGACGCGATGCTTCGTCTCTGCACCCTCATGCATCGCTCCTCCTGTTGCACAGTCAGAGGAGGAGAAGAGGAGGAGAATCGCGATCTCTCACGAGAGCATCCGCCCAGGCTTCCACCGTTGATCGGCAGACAGCACACGAGCAAGTCTTGCTGTGCTCCATCCTTCCTGTGTCGATTTCCAACTGGAGGGAGAGGAGAGCAGAGGAGAGGAGAGGAGGGGAGAGGAGAGGGGAGCAGAGGAAAGCAGAGGGGAGCGAAGAGGAGGGGAAGGGGAGGGGAGGGGAGGAGAGATCAAACGTCAGCAAACTTGCTCAGGGCAGAAGATTTCATCAGATTCACCTGCCTGACTTCGACAAAACTGTCCCGTCCGGGCTGAGAGAACAAAGCAGAACGAGTGAGAGGGAGGGAAGCAGGGGAGGGAAAGAGATAAGGGCACAATGATGGAGAGGAAGGGGTAAGGGAGCGATGGAAGGAAGAGCGGGGAGGGGGAGAGAACAACGAGATTGTAGACGGCAGGATGAAAAGAAAGAAACAAACAGACAGCGAGCTGATCAAAGGTTTACCGTTAGAACTTGAGCCTTCCACAACTCCTGCCGTTTCCTCCAATGGCTCATCTGAGACAAATTCAGATGTCCTCTCCTTCCCCTACCCCTCCTCTCCTCCTCCTTCTGACCCGACCCTGCTGCTGCTGCTGCTCCTTACCCTGGAATGAATTTGCGCCCGCAGCTCGTCAGCTCGTCGAGGGTCTTTCATCTTCTTGGTAGCAAGGCCGCACATGTGCTTATTGCAGAGCTTGCAAGGAGTGCAGATACAAACGTCCTCTTCGTCGTCGTCCTCCTCCTCAGTGTGCGAGGTGTTGGTCCTGCTCTCGCTGGACGGCCTGATCTTGGGTCTCCTAAGGCTCAGATGGCAGTCAGGGCAAATTTTCTGCTCCTCTTTAGCCTTGTTCGGCTGGAAGGAAACGACAGCAGAGGACCCTTCTTGCTCTTCGTCCCTAGAAGACCCCAGGGCGCTTGAATGCCTGCTCGACCCGCTCTTCATCGACCTGACGTCCTCTTTCTTGAGCTCTTCTTGGTACCACTCATCCTCATCGACGGGCGGCTCGTAATGGTCAAGATCCCAGGGGTTTGTGATAGAAGTATGCGACATGGCCGCTGACTCGGCGCGTTGAGGAGGAGCGATCAAAATTCCTGCCAAAGAGTGAGAAGCTTGTCCGCTATCAAACTTCAGTTTCAATGCCCTCTTGCTACCAGTGTCCTCTATGAGATCTCCAACGACGTTCAACGAACTCAACAAGTCCCTCCTCTCCTCTCGTCTCCTCTCGTCTCCTCACGTCTCGTCTCGTCTCGTCTCGTCTCGTCTCGTCTCGTCTCGTCTCGTCTCGTCTCGTCTCGTCTCGTCTCGTCTCGTCTCGTGTCCTCTCCTCTCCTCTCCTCTCCTCTCCTCTCCTCTCCTCTCCTCTCTCGTCTCCGCTCGTTCTTACCAGTGATTCTTTCCAACCATTCCATTCTGAAAGCTGCACACTACCCCTTGGTTATCCCACCCCAACTCCCTTGTATTCTACCCCATCTGTGCAGCTTGAATTTATGTTACAAGTACCCCATTGTAGTGTACCCTTTTCAAGGCTACCCCTGCGTTAGAGCGCTACCCTCACCCCATCAATTCTTTTCCATGGTACCCCACCCTGTGACCAACCGCTCTGATGTCAATTATCGAGAAAACACTACCCCCACCCCTCAAATTCGACACTGACACCCCCACCCCCACCTTTCCTCCCCCCCTAGTTGTGAAACACACCCCTATGTTCCCCTTTGCTTTAACCCCTTAGTCATCACCACCCCTCTATGTATGTACCCACCCTATGACAACTTGTCAAACAACCTGCTCCCGAAATAGCCTGACATGGCAGTCCACGACCGCCGTGCACTGGCGGTCGGCGCGACGCTCGTCGCGGCCATGGCGGCTACAGCTCTGCTGCTGCTCGTCTCTCCCTCCTCCTCTTCCTCCTCTCTCATGGCGATAGTGAAGCCTGAGAAACAGCTGCACGCTCTAGCGATGCATTTGCTGAGAACAGGGGGATCCATGTCAACCACGGCGCTGGGGCTGTACCTGAAGAAGTGGCAGCAGAACCCGCTCATGCTCGGCGATCCCTCCAAGGCTCGCACGCAGATGCTGGCCCCACAGAATGTGCTAGGAGCTACGAAACTTCAGAATGAGGCAGGTTCTGATTCCAAGTTGTGTGCAAAGAAAGATGTCATTATTGAGAAGCTCGATCAACTGCTGAAGAAGTTGGGCGGAGAAGAGCTCTCGCTCAACATCACCTTAGGCAAGGTTGACGCAGAGTGGAAGGCGGCGCTGGACTCGTGGCTGGAGGCCGAGTCTTCATACCGCCTGCGCATTGAGCAGGTAATTGAATTTTTCAGAACGTTGTTTTGACGTCCTCACACTGTGAGTTAAGCAAAAGGAAGCCGACGATGGGTTGAAATACGTCCAAGACGACTACGAGAAGTACATGACGGCGTACAAGGAAGCCAAGGCAAACCTGAATGCGATGCTTGCTAAGCACCAGGCCGAGAGAGAGGAGCTTGACTCCGAGAGGGAGCTGATCAAAGAGATCATGAGAATGATCGGTCGGTGCTGACGCTCTCCTTGCCCTCCTGACGCTCGCCCTTGCCCTTTCTGACGCTCTCCTTGCTCCTCCTGACGCTCTCCCTTGCCCCTCCTGACGCTCTCCTTGCAGGGGTCCTGCATGACATCAAGGCCACCGACAAGAGCATTGCAGCTGGTGGCAGGGACAGCATCAAGGACTCGGAGACCGGCGTCTCTGACCCGTGATACCCGTCGATACCTTGTCATACCTGCTGACGTGTTGACAGCTACGGCACTTATGCAAGCAAGACGAAGGCTGTCCTGGAGGCTAAGATCTCGCAGCTCAAACAGATGATCAAGAAGTCTGGGCTGATTAAGGGGGACAAACTCGCGCAGATCACGAAGCTGCCAGTTTACAGCGAGACTGAAGAGATCGCCAAGATCCTCAAGGAGATGCTCGACGTGAGCAGAGGAAGATGACGTGCCTGCACTCTGGTGACCTTCACTGCAGGACATCGAGACCAGGAAGCAGATCCTTGATGATTCAGAGAAGCAAGCTCAGGCGACGGTGGACAGCTACCATGATAAACTGGTCTTCAGCTTTGTTGATCTACTAGCAGCTCTTAATGATTGTTGGAAGGTTGAGTCGGAGCAGAAGATTGCTGAGCTGGGTAAGGCAAGAGACAAGGCAAAGGAAGACGTGAGCCCTGGCCTCAAGGCGACTGACATGGCATGCCAACTGACATCGCGTTTCTTCTCAGTACGAGAGCGAGAAACTTCAACGTGAGAAGCTCAACGGAAACGAGAAGATCTTGGAGATCCAAGACAAGGAGGCCAAAAATGACGCGAAGAAACTGGTAATTCTCCTCGTCGTCAACCTTGCAGGCCTGTTGACACATCAACTGCAGATTCCTCCTTACGAGAGGGAGATCTACGTCATTACCATGATCAAGATCAAGATCAATGATCATTGCAACAGCATCAACGGAGCTGCTGCCGGAGCTGATGCGGCAGCTGCCCCAGCAGCAGGAGCTGCAGCAGGTGCTTGAGGTTGATGTGGGAGATGGTAGCTTGCAAAGTTTTTGTTGGACGGAACCATTCAGACGTTTTCTGTATGTGGTACGCATTCTTTTTCAAAGACAGAGTGTATAATCTTTCAGTTTAATTGATAATGAAGATTCGGGTCTTGGACTTACAGTCGGACTTTTGTCACCATAGTAAGACTCATAGCTCAATGGCGACCCCCGAGTACGACGGAGGCAAAACAAAGTAACAAAGGGATTCAACAAGAGTGAGTGAGAGAGAGAGAGAGAGAGAGAGAGAGAGATCTTGTTCCTCTGTCCTGGCCATCTTAATTTCCACTTGCATTGTCGGTGGGCTGGTTCTTGCAGTGATCCACGATCTTCATCTTGATCATAGTGATGACGTAAATCTCTCGTTCGTAAGGAGGGATCTGTACATGTATCAGACCTCGAGCAGGCTGGGCACACACTGAGACTCACAAGCTTCTTCGCGTCTTCGGTCGCGTCCTTCTGCTTGATCTCAAGGATCTTCTCGTTTCCGCTCAGCTTCTCACGCTTGAGTTGCTCGGCCTCGTAGGATTCTTTTGCCTTGTCCTTCTGCTTGCCAAGGTCGGTCAGTTTCATCTCCCACTCGATCTGTTCGACGGCCGTTAGCGGATCATTTCAAGCGCAAGTGTAGCAGGGCACCAGCTTGGCGTGGGTGTCTTCCTTGAGCTTCAGAGCTTGTGCTTCTGATTCGTCAAGAACCTTGCGGCGACTAGCAATGTCCTGCAGTCACGATAGTCACTTCCTGACCCCTAGAGTCTGATACTTCTCTCACCTCCAGCATCTCTCTCAAGATCTTTGCCACTTCCTCGGTCTCGCTGTACACAGGTAGAGTGGTGATCCTGGCCAGGCTCGTCGAGCTCAGCCCAGTCTGCTTAGCGAGCTGCTTGAGCTGATTGATCTTTGCCATCAGCTGGGCCTTGGTCTTGGACAGGTACTTGCCGTACCTACGACAACACGAGCATCATCGAAAGCGCTTCTTTTCACATTGACAGCTTACGGGTCAGACACTCCAGTCTCAGAGTCCTTGATGCTGTCGCGTCCACCCGCCGCAATGCTGCGATCTGTGGCATTGACATCATGGAGGACACCTGACATGCGGGTCAAGGACGATGCACATCGAGTTATGCTCTACCGATCATCCGCATGATCTCTCTGATCAACGCCTCCTCGTCGTCGAGCCCCTGGCGCTCCTGTGCATGCTTCTCCGCCATGTGCTGATAGTGTGCCACGGCTTCCTTGTCAGCAGTCCTGTACTTCTCGTACTGGTCCTGAGCGTACTTCATACCTTCATCTGCCTCTTTTTTCTGTACAGACATGTCAGTTCATTCCTGCATCACGTGCAGACGAGCTGTGCAAACCTGCTCCACACGCAGGCGGTAGTTGGCCTCAGCGGAAAGCCACGAGTCGAGCGCGTCCTTCCATTCCTCCTGAACTTTCCCGAGAGTGATATTGAGCGAGAGCTCTTCTCCACCCAACTTCTTCAGGAGCTGATCCAGCTTCTGGATGATGACGTCCTGCTTCGTGCACAAGCTCGACTCTCCCTCTAGTTCTGACTTGTGTGCGGGAGCTGCGGGGGCAAGCATTTGGGTCCTCGACTTGGCGACCTCGAGCATGATTGGATTCTTCTGCCAGCTCTGGATCAGTTGGCTGACCTGTGCAGCTGACATCTTCGCTCCGTGCTTCAGCAGGTGCATAGAGATGGATGAGACGAGCGCCTTTGCTGAGGTGTCGATGGCCATAAGGGAGCTGCGCCTCCCTGCTGTCCTGGATGAGAAGGAGGACGCAAGCTGCCATGGCAGATACAAGGAGGAGAGCAGCAACAGCAGGACGAGATCTCCTTCCCCGTCCTCCTTCTCCCCTCGCAATCCTCCCCTCCTCCACGGCTTCGTATGAACCCAGCGCCATCGCTCGACACCGCCTTGAGGTTCTATTTTGGGAGCTTAAAAAAAAGTTGGTCACTAATAGTCAACCGTGGACAACCGGGCCAGAACCGCCGGGCCGGCCCGGGGCCTCCCCCCGGCGCCCGGCCCGAAGCGGCCTGCAGCCTCGTGACTCGGCTCGAAAAACTTCCGCAATCCAGATCGGACTCCGGCCTCGGAACGGAAGGCTTCGAAGGTGCCTGTGACTCGGACTCCGGCAAGTTTACGCCCGGCCTCAGTACGGTCACCGGGTGGCCCACTCGCCGAGTCGGCTCGGAACGGAAGTTACTTGAAACTTCTTGCCGCAGTACTAGTGACGGACGGACGGACCACAGGGCCTGTCACTGACAGTGAGCTTCGCCGGATCGCCCGGGGGGACAGCCTGTTGGCCGCAGACCCCCCAGTGCAGTAACGTCACTTTGCGGTCAGACTGAGGTCGGCGGGGACCGGCGGGTTCAGCCCACCGTGCTACTGTGACGGTCAAACAGGACTCGGCAGAAGGACGCACTACTAGGCTAGTTTCTTTCGGAAGTTCAATTCACTCAAGACACCCTTCAACGGTAATCAAGGTGGTTAAGAAGTTAATTCAGTATCTAGTAAAGCACAAAGTTGACTGCGACGGAGCCGTTGGGGTTCAATCCGCGAGTCTCGGACACAGCCGTATGTTACACTCTTGACGCCATCACAGTAACTCTGGTCGGAATGGCGCCTCCGCCCCAGACCTTCTGAGGAGGCCAGGATCCATGAAAGTTAGCGGAGACATCCTCGTCCCTCATGGGCACATCCTCGTCCCCCGTGCCGACACGGCTCAGCTTCAGCGCCATGGTAGCCGCCGACGGCCTCTTGCTCGGATCGCTCGACCACGCTCTGTGAAGGATCTTGGCAACTCGCTGATTCTTGAGGAAGTGTAGGGGAGGCCTGAGACCCTGCCGGCAGACCATGAGCGCAATCTTGTGAGGGTCCATGGAAGCGAACGGCAGCTCTCCCGTGCACATGCACCAGATCACGACGGCAGCTGAGTAGATGTCTACTTTCGTCGTGTAGCAGTGAGTGTACCCTCCCTGCTCTGTGAAGACTTCGGGCGCCATGTACCTCCAGGACCCAGTGTTGCCGCTCATCTGCCCTCTAGCTCCAATGTGCTCGCGCTCGTGGTAGAGCACCTTGCAGAGGCCGAAGTCGCCGAGTTTGAGCACCTCGAGGTTCGAGCTGAGAAATAGGTTGGAGGGTTTCACGTCTCTGTGTATGATGGACGGCTGGCCGTGATGGAGGAACGTCAATGCACTCAGCATCTGCTTCGACCAGCTCAGCGCCAGCTCGAGGGGGGGTCTCCAGCGCTTCTGTGAGATTGTCGAGCTCTTCAGGTTTAGGATCTCCTCCAGGTTCTGCCCATCAACGAGCTCGTAGACGACACGGAGGTCGTCCATATCCAGGCATGCGCCATAAAAACCGACCAAGTTGGGGTGCCGGTTTCCAAGGATAGACGCAGCCAATACTTCCTGCGACCAAAAATCAGCAAACGATGGTTGGGCAACTGAGACGTACCTGGATCAGATCCTTGAGATGCTGCATCGACGACTTGAGATCTTCTCGGAGGATCTTCACTGCCACCGGGCTCCCGTTGAGCTTCGCCTTCATGACCGTCCCGACTGAGCCTTCACCCAGTAGCACTGAGCCTGCAAAACAAAGTCTGTCAGACAAGGTTTGGTGAGGAAGAAAACGCGTCATCACCTTCAAAGTTGAATGCAGATCGTTTGAGATGCCAGCGTTCTGTCTTTCTCAGGATCTCAACGATCGGGACGTCTGAGATGCTGCAGTCCCTACATGCCGGGAGCGGCTGTGCCATTGCGTCGTCGGGATGCCCTGCTGAGGAGTGGAAAGCCTTGAGACCGTTCCCGTCGATGAGGAGACCAAGGGAGTCATACTCGTTCGACATGTAACCCTCTCCTTCCTCTGAATCCCTTCGGCCAACGCGATGGGATACCATGCTGTCACTTTGTTCGAGGTCCTTGCACTGTCTACTACTTCCGGGCTCTGGATGAGGGGCACAATGGTCCATACTCTGAAACGAAAAGAATGTCAAAAGGTTGTCGGCATTCATGTGAGAAAAACGTCAAGCAAAACTGTTTGCCTGCATCAAGCATGTGGTATTCTTGAAAAATGTGATAAGAAATGATCAACGTATCCTACCCATTTAGGTACGTAACAAAAAATTCAAATTTTCATCATGATGCATCATTTTGAGTTCAAGACGGTGTACACCGAAAATCTCATTTCCTCTCTCGCTCTGCTGATCTTATTCCGTCCTATCCTCGCGTTCATCGCCTCCCTCTACTTCTTTGACTGCCTTCGGTTGCGGATCCCGTCATGCTGTCTTGTTACCGTAAGGGACACCGCACTTGGCCTTTCTCCAAGTGTGACCCTACCCTACCTATCCATGTCTTCTGCACCGGTAGTCAATCAACATCGGATCCACCCCACCCCACTCTATTCCCTTGTATCAACCCCCTGCACTTTTCAGTCGTAAGTTTAAAGGTTTAGAACATTTTTACTACACCTTCCTACACCTGTTTCCAGACAAGGTACCCCTCCCCACCTCATTTCCATCCACCCCAGGCTTGGATACCCCACCAAATGATCAACATAGTGCAGATCACCCTGGAAATATCAAGTTATGACCCCGTACTCAATGACCCTACCAGGGGACACCACCTTTTGCCTTCCAGGGTAGACACCCACCCCCCGAGTCGTGTGACCTACTTGTTGGGACTTAATCGAAACAATGTGTTTCGGAGATTTACTACACAGGCCAATGGGGGCCTTTTAAAACCTAAAAGTTCCAACCAGAAATAACATTTATAATACTGAGGGTGAGGTTCTGATTCCAAATAACTAAACTTTGGTACCTGAGCCACTTGCTACATCATTGTAGGTGCTATTTTTGGGACATCCACTTATAGTTTAAATCGGTACAAATCTTAAAATAACTTGTAAGATCAAACGGGTCGTTCGGGGTAAGTACCGGGGCGAGTACGGCTGTCAGACCGGGAGGCAATTGGGAGGGGCCCCGGTCATAACCCGGAGGGTCACGAGGGAGGGACTGAGTTACCTTGGCCGTCACGCTCCTGATGAGTCCAAGGAGTCGCCGGCCTTGTTGCGCCCGTCACGAGACCGCACCGCCTCGTCACGGGCGCGTAAACAAGTAGACTGTAAAAACTCATGTCGCGGCTACGCGGCTACGCATCGAAAAGAAGTTATTTGGAATTTGAATTTACCTAACGGCAATTGAACAAAATACTGTTCGATTGCAATACTAAAAGTTTAGTTTATAGGAGTGTAGCCGCGTACGTAACCGCGAAATTTCGCGGCTACACACTCTGTACTACACAGTTTACAACATGGAACGACATTTCGAAACGTTGAAATATTATTGAAATATTATACTTTTAAATCAATTTAAAATATAATATACCGTATCGATTACTTTTCACGGCTTCATGTAGCCGCGTCATGAGGCTAGAGTCGGCCCTCAGTGACAGACCGTCATCGGAGCCCAATGATCCTCCGATCCGATCTCAACGTAATTTTCCAAGCACCAAACTGTCAGGCTGAACACCGGGGCCCGGCCGGGCCACGGCCGAACTCACTGATATGCCGGCCGGGCCGGCCGCAGTGTCGGGAAAGTCACGTTTATGTCGTTTCACACGCCTTTTTGAATTTCCCTCCTGCATAGGAGGGTCAGGAAACGGCGGGAGGGTCGCAGCAAGAGGCCGCTGGAGCAGCAGCAGCAGCGAGTCAGTTGAGATGAAGTCTACATCAAAGAACGATGAGCAGAAACTGCCTGTCTTCCATGGGATGGTGTTTGCGTTCTCGGGCAAGTTCACCAGACCGCAGCAGACGTTGAAGGAGCTGGTGGAGTTGGGGTCGGGGTCGTGCGCGCAGTCAGTGACGCAGAAAGTCACTCATGTGATCACAACTCAGGCAGCTCTTGACTCCGAGAAGCGTGCAGCTGCCCTTGCGACAGCCATAGGGAAGGGGCTGCCACTGGTGAAGGAGGATTTCCTGTCAGCTTGCATCGAGAAGGGAAAACTTGTTGATATGAACGAGTACGTCTTGAGGGTTCAGAAGTTGCCTTCTGCAGAAGACGAGGAGAGAGAGATGAAGATCCTGGAGGCGATCTCCCGAAAGATAGAGAACCGCGTCTGTCTCAACATGAAAAGGAATGTATTCTACTCGATGGAGGATTACGCTTCATGCACTCGGATGGCGCTCGAGAGGTTGCGAGCGATGAGGAGGATAGACCTGCTGTCGTTCGGCTTCGAGTCTCTTGCGACAGGACGAGCTCTGGATCGCATCAACCAATCGATGAAGGACCTGCGGCTGGACAGCGCCATGGAAGTCATGGCTGCGAGGAGCCTACGGCCGGAAGACGATGCCAGGAGCCGGTTGATGATTGACACTAACATCTACTTGGATGCCAGCCCAGACTTCTGCTCCTGGCTGGAGAGGCTGGACCAGAAGAAAGTGAAAGTGTTCATCCCGATCGCGGTGTTTGAAGAGCTGGACAAGAAGCGGTCTAACGGGAACGAGAAGATTTCTTTCCAGGCTAGAAGCACCTTCCGTCACATCGAGCGAGCCCTCAAGAGGAGCAACTCTCATTCTCTCCTGAGCTTCTGGGAGCTGCAGGACCGGCGGGTGGACGATCACTACAGGAGGACGATAGGAGGTGACGCCAGGTCCTTCGACTTGCGCATCCTCTCGTTCCTGCGCGACTGTCACACTGCTAGGAAGAACAGCTTTGTCATGGTCACCGAGGACAGGCCGCTCTCGCTCGAGTGCTGTCAGCATGGCATCCGCTGCATGTCCTTGCAAGAGCTCCTCTCCTGCCAGGAGTGGAAACCTCCTTCTGCTCCTGCTCCTGCTCCTGCCGCTCCTCCACCTCAAACTTTGCCTTGTGCTCCGAACGGGTTGAGAAGGCCGATAGTGCAGGAGCAGGCGGGGAGGGGCGGGCTTCAGCGCAACGTACCTGCTCCTCAGATTCGCTCGTTGCCGCACCGCTTGCAGCATGAAGGAGAGAGCCGGGGAGGGGTGCCAGGGCACATCCTCCCCACTCCCCCCCTGCTGGCGACAGGAGCGAACGCGATCGCTCTCGGGTCAAGGAGGGGGATGGGGCGAACTTGGGACATGGAACACGAGGAGGAGAAGAAGGAGAAAGAAAGAGAGGCAGACCTGCCGTCGGGATGGGAGGTCGCGTACGACAGGAATGGTAGGAAGTACTATGTCGATCACATCAACAGGAAGACCTTTTATGCATCCTCGCTCAAGTGCCAGGAAGTTAGGAAGGTGCAAGGAGAGGAAGGAGGAAGGAGAGATCTGAGATTGTGAATTTGGCAGGACGAGAAGAGCAAGGAGAACCTCCAGGCCTCAAACAAATTGCTTCCTCCGGGGTGAGGACAGGAGGGAAGAGGAGAGAGGGAGGGAGGGAGGGAGTTGAAGGGGTGGATGGAGGAGGGGAGAGCTAGAGGAAGGAAAGGAGGGAGGAGGGAGACTGAGAAACAGGCAGGTGGGTGCAGTGCGTATCCAAGGCAAGCTCAAGACCTTATTTCTTCAACACCCTCAACGGAAAGAGCCAATGGCATTACCCATGACCTTTCCGCTCCTCCTCCTCCTCCTCCTAGAACCCTGACCACCTCCCTCTGCCTCCTGTCGAGTTGCAGATGATAAAGTTGCTTTCGGCGCCTCCTCCGCTCTCTTTCGTTTCTCCTTCCTCGCTCTCTCCCTCCCGCCCTCCTCCTTCTCCTTTCTCATCGCATTCGCACTTTCCTCTTGCACGCCTTCATACTTGAGGCTCAGTGCCTGCTTGCATGCCTCCACATGTTCCATCAGCAGCCCCCTGCTGTTGCTCCTGTCACTATCCTCCCTTCTCCTCCCCCCCTCCCCTCCTCCTCCTCCTCTTTTTCTTCCTCCTCCCTCCCTCCTTCCCTCCGTCCCTCCCTTCCCCCCCCCCCCCCCCAACCCCCCCATCAGACAGTCCGATTCCGCAGCTTCTCCGCCGCCTCCTCCCCTCCCTTCCTCCCTCCCTCCTGCTCATACCTGCTCGCCGTCTTGACGCATCGCCCTTGAAACATTCTGGCGTATCGCACGTTGTGCGTCCCTCCACCGTCTCCCGGCGAGCACGAGACGAGCTCCTCGTCGTCGATGGCGCACCATCCTGACACCTTCATTCCCTCCTCCTCCGCCTGCCGCAGCCACTCCGCGATCTCCCACTGCCTGTAGTTGTGCATGCGAGGGCAGGTGGTGTGGGGAAATTGATCCTGGAGGAGGAGGGAACGGAGAGGAGAGGCTGGATGCTGCTTGCAGAAGCTGCTGAACTGCTGTAGTACCTCCTGCTGTCTGCCGCATCGCCATGTTGAGGAGAGGACAAGAGTAGCGCTCGTTGCCGCCATGGTCGCGGAAAGGCTCTCCATGGACTCACTTGTAAACTTGTCTTGATCGCATTCGTCCCCAAAGGGCAGGAGGACTCCGTCCACGTCTAGGAAGATCACTTTCATGCTTGCTCCTGCTCCTGCTCCTGCTCCTGCTCCTGCTCCTGCTCCTGCTCCTGCTCCTGCTCTTGCTCCTCCTCCTCCTCCATTGGCCCCCGTCTTCATCATCGCCACTGCTTTCACACTGTATACAAATGCGACGCACAAGAACAAAGCGAGGGTGTAGACATAAGAGGAGGAAGAGGAGGAGGAGGAGGAGGAGGAGGAGGAGGAGGAGGAGGAGGAGGAGGAGGAGGAGGTGGTGGTGGTGGTGGTGGTGGTGGTGGTGGTGGTGGATGATGAAGAGGACAAGGAGGAAGAGGAAGAATTGTTCGTACTTTGTTCATGCTCGTCGCTCGTAGGAAGAGAGAATTTCTGCATTCTCGTGGGAGTGAAAGGATCAAACTTGAGCACCTGGAGGTAAACATCATCCAACCTTCCTCACCCACCCCCCTCCTCGCTCTTCCGAGGGAGGATGGCGAGGGAGGTGGGCGAGGGAGGAGGGCGAGGGACGAGGGCCAGGGACGAGGGCGAGGAAG